ACTGTCGAAGAGGCCGCTGCCGCCACTGCTGCTGCGCTCGCATCGCGTGCCTCTGCCTCGAGCAGGACCGGTCGCTCCGACGGTGGTGACTACTCCGAGACAGCATCGCCGCTTGGCACTCCTTCGCCCAATGACCGCAATCTCTCTCTTTCACCCGCACAGGGAATGCCTCCTGGTGGCATGCCTGGCCTTCACCGCCAGGGCTCCGACTACGCCTACATGGGCGGTATGAACGTCCCTCCTCACATGCGTCATGAGATGCCCCAGCCCAGCCCTCGTGCCTCCCCTGCGCTCACAGCTCAGTCATACACATCCAACGTGAGCGGCTCTCGCCCAGCGATCACCTCTCACCCGACCGCCTACGGCCCACCGCCGATTCTTGAGCCTCCTGCGTCTGCAAACCACAACCAGTCCGGAGGCACCACCAGCGCCAACGGCAGCCCTCACATGTCCGCCATGGGCTGGCAATCACCGGGCCAACAGGCTCTCCCCTCCCCTGGTGCCCAAGACAATGGCTACGTTTACCCCGAGCCCCAATACCAGGCACAAAACGGAATGTACTACCAGCAAAACAACATCCGTCGTCCCAACAGCACTGAGCCGGACCACTACAATCCCAACCACCGCGAGATGGGCAACGGAATGTGGGCTCCTGCTGTCCAATAGAGTTGCGGCCCTGGCGCAGTTCTCCCACAGATCCTGGAAGATACATCCGACGTAACGCTTGAGCAAGCTCCACCGCGGCGTCACGGTTAATCTTCCCCACTGTAAAACTAATACATGCGATCACGCCAACCTAGGGAAAAACTGAACAGCCTGGAGCCTACGTTGACTTTGGGTCGCCTGCTTTGCAAAGTTTTGGGTCAATATAGTCTGCAGACCTGTTCAGTTTTTCCCTGGTATGAGGTGCGATCCTTTGGTGTTCTCGGCAGGCAGGACCTATACCCTGTTCCACAAAATTTTCTTACTGGCATCCCTATGGGCTAGCGGGTCATTGAGCGCGTTAGTTTTCCTGTTTCTTTCGACTTGCCCATATCTGTTTGTTGCAAGTCTTCCCATCTCCGGGTCGTGGTTATCTGGCGGCGGTTTTTCCATGGGTTTTCGTCCATCCCTCTCTCCATCGGGAGCTCGAGACGGGATGGCAGGCGTTGGGCGTGCCTCATACACACCAAGACGGGCAAGGGCGTCCGGGCTTGTTCCGTTTTGTCTTGTTTTTCATATGCACCGGTAAACCTCTCTAGACTGGTATTTAATGAAGGACTTATATCCGCCTCTTAGACTACACCACTATTCTGCGCAAGCGGAGCCAAAAATTTAAATCTCTATAATACACTCATTCCACGGTATGCAAGTGAGATGCGTAATATGTGAAAAGCTATGCCATTTCCATTATGGTAGGTACAGAGATGTTGTGCTCCTGTCGTGCATGGCAGGAACGTGAAAGAGCTCGGCTGTACCTGAATACCCTGAAGGTGTTCGCAGAACTTTGAATTGGCGATAAAGTTCGACAACAATACATGCTTGAGGGTGCATCCCAGTTAAGCGTACAAGTTGCTCGAGACGAGCGCCTTCGTATCCTGTGTGCTGCCCTACAGTCGCCTCATTGGGCTCAGCGCATTGCGAGCATTACCCGTTGCATCCAAGATCTGCCCAGGCGACAAGAGAAGCCTCGTCAGCTCATTCGCAATAGTTGCGTGCTGCTCGCACAGTTGTTTCACGACAGAGAAGGATATCCAAGTATCTAGCACGAGTGAATGCCACAATATCAAGACCAATGTCCATGTTGGACCTCAAGTGAAGGTGCTGGTGGTGCCCGGCATTGACGTCGTCGCCGCGCTTTGACCCTCGAATTCGGTCGCTCGGCCCTGTCCTATGCAGGCGGTCATCGCACCAGCCTCGCATTACGTCTATCCACGTCTCTCCTGCATGTCCATTTTACCCCAGCTTGCCACAACCCACGCTGCCATATCTCGCTACTCTCACCATCGCTGGGCAATCAATTCCGACGACAAACCGCGCTGTTGATTGCTTGCGCCCGTCTACTTAGTGGCACGTCATCCGCCCAGCGCTATACCTCAGCCACTCCTCTGGCGACCCTTCCCTCCCGACAGCTCCGACCCAACGACACCGCACACTGTGAGACGGAAATTACGTCGCGACCATGAGTAAAATCGCGAGATCGGTCAAGAACGTGACCAAGGGGTACAGCCAGGTCGAGGTCAAGGTCCGCAATGGTATGGAGTGCCCCAGGAGCTGCATGCAAGGCGTAGCTGACCATCGCAGCGACCAGCAACGACCCATGGGGCCCCGTCGGGTCTGACATGGCCGAGATCGCCCAAATCACCTTCAATAGGTACGACGAGTGCGAAGGCTACGCGAGCCATGCTGACCGCTACCCAGCTCGACCGACTTCTATCAGGTCATGGACATGCTCGACAAGCGCCTGAACGACCGCGGCAAGAACTGGCGTCACGTCCTCAAGTCGCTGAAGGTGCTCGACTACTGTCTGCACGAGGGCTCCGAGCTCGTCGTGACATGGGCGCGCAAGAACATCTACATCATCAAGACACTGCGCGAGTTCCAGCACACCGATGAAGACGGTCGCGACGTCGGCCAGAACGGTAAGCGCGTCCTGCTTTGCGCATTCGTGCCTTACTAAGACAATCGCAGTTCGAATGGCAGCTAAAGAGCTGACTTCGCTCATCCTCGACGAAGAGCGCCTGCGCGCCGAGCGAGCCGACAGGAAATCGTGGAAGTCGCGGGTCACGGGCATCGAAGAGTACCCCGGTGGCGGCCACCACGGTCCAGATGGCGGGGAGAGAGCCACGCGCCCGCGCAACGGCGAACAGCGTCGCAACCGCAGAACAGAAGAAGAAGATCTCGAGCTGAGACTCGCGCTCGAGGCAAGCAAGAACGAGGCAGAGGAGGAGAAGAAGCGCCGCGAACGTGGGGCCAGAGTCGAAGACACCGACGATGACTTGGAAAAGGCCATCAAGCTGAGCAAGGAGGAGGAGGAGCTGCGCCGGAAGGAACTCGAGCAGACCAACGCCGACCTACTTTTCGGCGAGACCACCGCACAGCCGAACGCCTACCAGCCCACGGGCAACAACCAGGGGTACCAGCAGCAGGGCCAAGTGGATTGGTTCGGCAACCTGATGGACCAGAACCAGCAGCAGCCTCAGAACACTGGCTTCCTCAACAATGCATACTCGCAGCCCACGGGCATGCAGCCTCAGCAGACTGGCTTCCAGAATGGTTTCGGCGGCTACGGTGGCTTCCAACAGCAGCCCCAAATGCCACAACCTACCGGCTTTGATCAGTTCGGCGCTCAGCAGCAACAGCAGCAATACATGCAGCCCCAACACACGATCCAACCTCAGCAAACCTCGTTCAACAACAACCCGTATGGTCAGTTTGGAGGTGGAGGCTTTGGTGACATGGGCCAGCAGCAACAGCAACAACCACAGCAAGATCAGAATGCACTCCAGCCTGGCAGTCATAACCCGTGGGCAAGCAACCAGACTCAAGAGTCGCTCAAACCGCAGCCCACTGGCTCCAACAACCCATTCGCTCAGTCCTTCAACCGACCGCAGCCCACTCAGACCTTCACGCAACCGACGTTGAACTCGTTGAGCGAACAGAAGACCCAGACTCAGTTCAACAACACCTCGTTTAACCCACCGGTATCCTTCTCTCCTGCACCGGCAGCGCAACCACAGCAGCAGCAGCCACAGGCGCCACAAAAAGAGATGGACCCGACCGCTGCCAGACTCAATGCGCTTCTTGCAACAGGCGAAGGTCAGGACACTTTCGGCAACGTCGGAAACATGCGTATCCCAGCTCAGCACACTGCTCCTGGAACATTCGTCAACTCGGCTGGCGCGGGCTTGAACCGGGTCAACGCCAACGCTACCGGTAACAACCCGTTCTTGAACTCGCAGTTCACCGGCATGCCGCAGCAAAACCGCATGATGCCTGCGGCAACTGGCCCAGCGAGCAACTTCGGCGCCAACCCTTACGGCAGCGCGAATCCATTCGGTGCTCAGCCTCAGCAGCAGCAGCAACCCCGTCAGCCTGGTGCCAACAACCTAATAGACTTATAGTGTGCTGGTCCAGATGGTAAAGCTTGCGCTTCGGGTCATTCTTCGATGCTGAAGCGTGGCACTCAGGTCTGCCCCAGATCCCCTCTCCCTCAGAGGCCCAAACCCGCATTCACGAATGGCAAGGCAGAGAGTAGCTTGGACGAGGCTGGTGGGAACGCGTGGTCATTTTGATTCCCTTATTATTATTTCCCCCGACCACTGCGGTTTGCATAGAGGCGAGCGACGAGCGCAACGAGTCAGTGGTGGCTAGTGTAGATAGCTTGATGAGACTATTCAACCCATGATGGTGCAGCTCGTCTGTGGTGCCGCGCAAATGTCTAGATTGAGACTGGAATCATTAATCCCTATTCTCTTTTCACGCTCCTCTCCGTGAAGTGAAAACTTGGAAGCTGTTGTAGAATTAACACGACCTCATTGGGCTGTGTATGCCCAGAACGAGACTGTAACGGCCATCTTCTATTGTCCGTTTACGCCCTCTCACCGTGAATCGCGAAGCTATTGTAGAATAGGCACACGTGACGCAATCTTCATGCGCACTGACGTTTGCTGGGCCCACAGCCGTTCTACACGCTATCCAACCCCGCAATCATTCACCTCCGCGTCGAGTCCACCTGCACCTTGCCGTGTCGCGAACTCCCTTGCCGGCTATTGTTTGCGCCGCTTTGGTTTATTGCCATTGTATTCACTTTTGACGCTTCTCTCAGCCCAGCTATTATCGAATGCCGCGCACCTGTTAGCATTGTCTAGACCTCACGCTTGGCCAGCAGACTTCACGCTACTGTACTTGGCGACTTCGACGCGTCACGGCCAGCCAGCCATCGTTTGATATACAGACAAAACAAATACGATTACTAGTATCGCCATCTTTAGGACATATCGTTCTACCCAAAAGCCTACATGACTTCAGAAGACGAGGCAATGCGCCGACGAACACGCCCGGTGTCCGCCATGAGCGGCCGAAAGCGTGCCATTCAAGAGGAGGAAGTGGAAGCGCATGCGCCAGAGCCGAAGAAGCTTCGTACTCGTGGCCCAGTTGAGAGCGATGTGGTCGGCAGCAAGCCTCAAGCTGCCGTGGTATCAAGCTCGCGAGCCCGCAGTGGTCTTCTCACGCCAGAACCCAGCACCTTGACCGAATCGCAACTCGAGCCTCCAGCCGACACCTCAGAGACGTCCGAGACTGCAACGGCAAACTTCTTCCCCTTCATGAAGCTTCCCGCCGAACTGCGCATCCACATCTACCACATGGCGCTCGTGCGCGAAGAGCCGCTCCTCCTGCATGCCGACCGCGCGCCCGAGAAACCCGAAGACGGCGACGACCTTCTCGCAGCACCGCGTCGAAACAACCTCTACGCCCCCTACATGCCCCGTCACGAACTGCCCGGCCCCGGCTACGCCTTCCATCGACCCAGACAGGGTCCCGAGCGCATCCCGCTAGACGACCCCATCGTTCCCGAGATCCTGCGGCTGAACAAGTTGATATACCGAGAGGCGCGTCAAGTCCTGTACAGCGACAACGTCTTCACCCTCAGCCTCACAAGCGGCATCCACACCCTCTCCACACTACACCAGCGCTCGCGCAGCCTCATCAAACACGTCGTCCTCACCATACCCTCCCACCACGATATCCTCGACGGCTTCGCCGACCTCGTCCGCCTGGGCCTGCGCTACTGCTGGGGTCTCAAGACCTTCAAAATCATCCTCCAAGCCAGCCTACCAGACGACGGACGGGTGACGGGCGCAACAAGCGTATACGCCAACGCATTCCACATACTTCGATGGCTGCCACGCGGTTGCAACGTCGGTCTCGAAGGCAACGTGAGCGATACCGTCAAGCGCGTTGTCGCCGAAGAAGGCAGATTACAGGCTGTACTTGATGAGGTGAGAGAGAATCTGAAACAACGTGATGATGTGAGGATGTTGGGAGCTGACAGTGTTGCAGGCGAGTTATCTCAAGAGACAGCATCAGATGCCGGAGAGGCATTAGTGGTGTCGATGTGGTGGCTCTGTGTTGTGTTTTTTTGAAGAGCGTGATCTGAGATGTTCTTGGGTGTAACGCTGTTGATGATGTGATGGGAAGTTGGCCTTTTTGCTGGCTTTGAGCCTTCGCGCAACGGCATGTTGTCGCGTCTTGCGTCGTTGCCAGTAAAGAGACTTTACGCTGGGTTGCAGTGTTGATGATACGATGAAAGGTTGCGCTTTACCGGTTGCCGGCTAAGAGCGACGTTATGTTGTCGCGTTTTGCGTCGTTGTCAGCGGGGAGACTGCGCCCTGGGTTGCCATTTTGATCACAAAGGGGAAAGAGGCTTTTGCGAGCTGGACTAGAGACCCGTGTTGTCTCGTCTTGCTCAATTATCAGCAGCAGCGTACACATCGAGTGTGTTGTTTTGAGTATGTGTTATCGTGTCTTACTTTGTCTGGACTGCAGGGAGCCCTCACCTCGAGCAAAACACCTTCCTCTCACAGTCACATACCTGTCTTCCGTCTCATTGCTCGCGATACGTAGCGAACATTCATGTCTCAACGACACGCGATTGACCACAGGAAGACTTCCATGGACAGCTCGAACCAAGAACATGCCCCTGTTATGAACCAATAACGTATTCCCTTCTTCGTGGAGGCGCGAATGCGCTCTCAGCTTCTTCTTGGCAAGTCACGTAAAGTCACCTGTCATTGCAAAAGTCTGCACAGTAACGTGACAGACCAACCCTTGGAAATCTATAAATTGAAGATGCTTCTCAGCCGAGATGTCCTGATTGGGTGGGTGCGATTTGGAGTTCGGAAGTCGCGACCTCGGGCGTGGCTCGTATGCCTCGTGTCACCACGGTATCAAGGGAGGAGCGCCACATTCAATGCTGTAATTTTATCGTAAGTTATGAATGATGCACAGCTCGCCCCTTTCCCTTCGAAAAGGCGGCGTGAGATTCTTTGTCTCGCGACTGCTTACGCAGCACCTTAGCTCCTACCACTATTGGCTAGTAGCTTACAGTGTTGACACGCCACAGGTACAGTACCATCTCAGCTCAACATTCGAGTGTGCTACCTAGCGAAGTACCTGGTAATCCCCTCGTCATCGCACGCCTGAGATCGCACGCGCTGCTAGACCTAGGTTTGTTTGGGCTTGCCAGCGGAAGTTGTGGCGGTGACGCGTCAAACGCGCCAGCGAGACATCACAAAGCTATGAGAACCGTCTGGAAAGACAGAATACGGGATCTTATCTCCAGAGCGGGGGCTGAAGCGCGCGTCCGAGTTATAACCACCTCCTGTTCTAGGTGCGCGGGTGAGGGACAGCGCAACATACCATCAACACTGCTCGGCACAAAGGCGTCCAACTTCTGTTGGAAAGACTCAGCTAAAACGAAGCTTCTCAGATGATTCAGCTTCTTCGGAGAGTGATGGTGCAGGCGGTGGGGATTAGGTGGATATATCTACCGCCTGCTCCGCCTGCTCTCGTGCATCTTAGCATCCACCATACATACGTCAGATCGGATCGCGGTTCCGAGATGATTCAGCTCTTTGTAAAACGCAAACTCCATGGCTATCTTGTCCGTTCAGTATGCCCAATGCGGAAACAAGTAATCTTGGGATTTAGTGACCAAGCGGCTCTCAATCCGCATCTGTCGCACAGCATTACCGGCAGCTATGACTAAGTCCTCGAAATGAATACCCTTTGGATTTGGCATCTCGGATGACCATATCCTAATGCCGTGCGGCGAAGTTGAGGCCATGGTTGACGGCAGCATAGTGGTGAAGTGCGTTACTTGCCTCCGCCGCCCGTTGGGGCTGTTGCTATTCTTGTTGTGTTTAATCAGCAGTGCCCAGGAAAAGCACGGCAGCGGAAGCCGTCGCCTGGCTCTACCTAGCCAACGTCGATGTAGGGTCTAGGCTAAGCTCTCTTTACGGCTTGGATGTAACCCTGCCGTCTTGCAATTAGGAACTGATCAGCGGCTCAAAAGCAAGCCTTCGCCAACGCTTTCGGGCAATATCCATCCCATCGTTCTGGTTACCGAACACACTAGCTGGCGCCATGAACTCTCCTCCCACTACTCTATCGTCACAGTCTCTTTCTACACCCGATGCGCGACCAAAACGAGCGGCAGTGAGCGAAGAGCCTGGGAAGAAGCCTAAGAAGCCCAACAGCGAGATACGAAAGCAACAGAACAGGATAGCTTCACGTAACTATCGTACGTGAGCCCACGGGTCGTCGCTTGTGGTGACCACAACTAATGACATTCGGTATAGGAGAGAAGCGCAAACGGAAGCTCCAATACCTCCAGCAGTTGATCAGGGACGACTCAGAGGGCCGTCAGGAGTCAGAACCTTCGCCTGAGCAGCACGAAGTGTACCCGCGCTCTCTGTCTGCGGACTACGACATTGTGGGCCCGAGTTCGTCGCCCTACCAGATGTCGTCAAACCGTGTCTTCGGCGCAAGCAGTGCAGTTGCAAACGAAGCCATACTGGCAGCTACCGTCGCATCCCTTGATCCCCATCATCTCGCAGTGGACCAAGCGTATCCTTCTTACCCGCCTCATTGGAACACGCACATCTACTCTCCGTCTCCACCAGCGAGCATACCCTGGAACATGCCGCCAGCGTGGATGTCGAGTTTAGACTACTCTGCGCAGGCAGTTGCGACCACCCGCCCCTCTATGTACCGATACCACACCCACCCAGCACGGCCATCGTTTCAGCACCCGCATGCGCCATCACCGTCACATTTCCAACGCGACTTCTCATCGAACACGGATGTCTACGGCTATGGCGCAGAGTATGCATCACACAGCCAAGCGCCTGGCAACCCCAACGTGAGTCTGCCTACCTCGTGCTCGTACTCGCCGTATAATCAGGGCCGGCGGACTGCTCCACATTGAGGTTCGAGATCCTCTTCCCCCGTTTTTTGCCGTATGGCTTGGGTGGAGACAGCAAGTAAGCTGACGTGACCAACGCCTAGCAGTACGCGCTTGTATGCGATCCTTCGAGCTACGAAAGGCTGGTCTACATCTGAACGTCTATAACGCATCGATTTCAGTCCGCGATGGCTCGCTTGATGCGAATAATGCAGGCAAAACCGTGCCAGAACGTTTTCCTCCGTCGCAGTCAACGCGAAGTCTCTTCCCCGATCAAAGATAACGCGCGTCACCACTGAACCGGCAAACTACCACGCACAGAAAATGACCACGACGATACAATCGACTTTCAGCCGTCTCCAAAATTCGCTTCAAACGAAGTATCTTACTCCATCGGGCTATTGTTCACGCGCGGAAGCCGCGAAACAGCTTACGCCAAGGCTACTGCCACGCTGGTAGCACCACACCACGATATCTGAGACATATGGCCACGCGGTCTTGCGTTACTTGTTGGTATAGGCGTGAGATGGATGAGATGGATTAGAGGGAGGGGTATCTTGACTGTATTGAAACATGTTGGGGCAAGTTGGAATGAGCTTTTGGAGGTGACGACGACGTGGACGACCTTCGTTGAAAGACGTAGTAAGATTGAGTTGGAAGGAAGGCTGTCATCTTGAAGCGTGCATTGTTGCGGCTGAGAGACCAACGAAGAGTCTGGCAAAGTACGGAGTAGAGTACATGTTTGGGGGCGGACTGGCGTGACGTCAGCTGACCGGTCACGCTTTTGATCGGTACTTCAGTACCTATTGAACTGGAGCAGAGAGGGGAGATACTCCCATGCGCAAACATTATAACTGCGAGTGTAAATGGCCAAAAGTCAGATGACTATCGATGTGCATTTGCTGTTCTGTCTGATCGCGGGTGTGAAATGCCTAGTCCGCTTTCGGCTAAGCCTGGATGGGCTGTGCACCAGCGTCATCAGCTGCACCCGTCGAGGCTTCCTTCATCTGCCTCCGCGCACGCACGACAAAATTGACGCACGACACGCCATTCCACAGGTCTTCAGAGGAGTGGCGCTCAGTGTCGTCGCCATTTTCTCAGGTATTCCTGTCTTCCGGAGACGGCCTAACAGCTAGGCTGCGGCAGCTAGCTCTCGCTGTGTGCGTGTTAACTTCGCGTAGTAACTGAAGCACTGTTGCTGCTGTTGAGGCAATATTCCCATATATGCATGACGACTACTGTGGAACTATAGCTTACCCAGGCTTTTACATGCGGCGATGTCTTCCATAAACGAGCTTTCAGATGCGGAGATGTCTTCCAGCGACGAATCTTCAGGCTCGGAGCTGGTACCTTTGGAACGGTCAGATATGGAGGTGTCTCCGCGAAGCCGTTCAGAGTTGTTGTAAGGTGATTGAAACGCCTTGATAACGCATACTAATCTTGGGCAGGTCTCTCGCCAGGAGACTTTATCCAAACAAAAGTGAAAAGAACATTATCTCAAGATCGAACAAGCTTGCTCTGGTGCCCGACAGAGTGTATACTTTATACGAATTGAGTTGTAGCGTATGCCATCAAGGCACGATTGAAAACAACTTTCACTTTATCTTTGCGGAGTGGCTGAACGCAGACTGCGACTTGTGTGGAATCCTACGCAAATGTCAGCAGTATTTTGCAAGAGACGCGAAGTCGCTGAAGTTGAGTTCCCTTGAGCAGACCGACATCCAGATATGCTACAGCAGTCATCCAAACGCTGTTTGTGAAGACATTCATGTCCAATTGTACTCAAAAGGTTTGTCCTTGAACTTTATTCGAAGGACTGGCTGATATAAGCGACAGAGCCAGAGGCTCATGTGAGTCCTTTCAGATACGCGAAAGATGTTTGCGAGTCTGTGAACTTGATAGCCTCGACGAGTGTCATGAAGGAGTGGATCGATCGTTGCGACAATACCCATCAGCATGCTCCACCAAAACACGAGTCTAGGCCTACACGCTTGATTGAAATTGGTGGCCAGGACGGGAGAATTTATCGACTCTGCTCACCAAAACATTCTGTAAAATTTGCCGCACTTTCCTACCGCTGGGGATCAGGCAAGCAGTCCGAGACGACGAAGGAGAACGTTGGCGAGAGGTCCAAGAAGCT